ATTTTGTACGATAAACAGCTTACGACAAACCCATTTAGATTAACCGTGGGGCTTTTACTAAATGGATTGTAGAAGCCGTCGAAAGATTTGCAGGTATATGTTAAAAAGACGTTTGCATCCGCAGAAAAGAATATGGCAGTTTTCGAGCATGGATCGTGAAACTACAGCTTACCGCACTACTAGCAAGGATGTGAAGAACTTATAACGTGGCAACACCGCTGTCGGTTTCATGATGGGCGAATTTACCTAACATGAAGGATTTGGTGAAGCATGTGTAAACGACCATTCCAGTTTCATGTATCTTTCCCTCATTTGTGATCTCATACCCAATAATTCGGTTTTTATTTCTTAATCTCTTTTTATCACTTTTTTATTTATTTTCTCTCCCTTCCTTTTTTCTCTCGTTTCCAATGCATTTCATTTGATTTTACCTTTTCCTTGCTTACCTTGTATTTCTGCGTAAAAAATCGTTTACCGTTACTCTTATCGTTTATCTTCTCATCTTTGCTATCTGTGACTATGATACCCTCTTTGTCCATTATTAATTTGCTGAACAAGGAATGCCGTTGTACGTTCAGAAAGCTTTACTAATTAAATATATTTTTCTAGGCTCGTAAACGGCTATTTTTATATGTTATAATTGAATCTTCCAAAAAATACGGGCGAAAATTTGCTATCAACAAAAATGTTGCATGTGATCTCTAATTTGATACAAATTTAAAGCGTCATTGTCATTTTTTCCGTTAATTAGCACGCTAATGAGAAGAATAAGATCCGAGTAGATTTTCATGCACTCAGCTTGTTGTTCTTAATGTTCTACCAGAAACCGAAGTCATTAGTTGTCTTTTGGGGGAAAGGCGATAAATGTAGCACATGGAGGGTCCTCGGTAGTGAGGTTTGATGAGGGCTAGCCATCTTGGTTACAAACCTCGATACAACTGAAAACAAAGTTTCTGACGACTAAAAAGGCATCAAGATGAATTAAAAATATAATCGAAACCAAATCGATTGACAGTGCAAAGACGTGTCAAATTCAGCACTACCGTCGCTAGCACGTCAGTTCACTTCTCAGGACTTTTTCTTTCACAGTCGACAACTGAAGAACAGATGCTGCTCGACAACCATTCAAATAGCTGTTATGAAACCGTTCGAACAACGACAGCCATTAATCGACTTTCCAGAGTCTATTAATCGCATTATTTGAAGTTGAACATCGCATGAGTTTAAACAATAAGTTCCATTTCGACGCTGTTTGTCGCACGCAAACTTCATCTGTCTACAGAACAGATTTTATACCGTCTTCGTGGCCCCGATCTATCTTTGGATTTACATTAATTAAGAAGACGCCAAATTTAGACGTCAACCCGGGCGATTTTCAGCTTCAGATAATGATTTATAGACTTTGGAAAATCGGGTTTTGGCCGTCGTTATCCGAATGGTTTTGCTGACAACTATTTGAACCGTTCCGATCGATTAACAGAGACTATTCAACGGCCGACTGCAGAAAAATGTTCCGAGTTCGACGCGTCTCTGCGTTGTCTAAATTCATGTCGATGCTATTGTGACCAGTGGAAACATGTTTCACTAGTATTTAGGTTTAGAACGAAGATACATAAACCACCGTATTGTAGCTCTGACCGTTTCTGACGATCCTGTTTGATACATTTATCAAACGGGTAACTTTATTCTCTGGAAGAAAATTATGCGCCTAAAGCTAAACGTTTGAAAGACAGTCTTAAAGTACTCGAAGGGTAATGCTCCTATCGTCCTGATGAGGTATCGACTAGAACGCCGAGCAAACGGTATTTAGTTTAAATTTTGTATGAAGTACTCTTCAATGAAATCAGTGATTGTCAATGTTTTATGGCGGGTTTTGCGAATAACTATTTAATGAGATTTAAATCTATTCGATAGAGAAACAGACGGTTAGAAGAGTGAAAAAAGTACATTCTCTCGAGGATTGACGTCAGAATTTCTTAGAAGGTCTACGTTCCCTTTACTGCATAATATGTACCGTAATCCATAACTATATCAGCTGAAGTGGTTTGAGAAACACTTGAGAACGCCACCGCCGGATAAATGGCAGAAGGTGGTAGAGTGCGTCGAAAACCTGGGTTAGAAAGCTTGAAGGGGGCAACATCGTACAGGCACAAGTAGCCGCGTTTATAATGCACCCATGTTCAATCTTCGCCTCCTAAAAAATAAGCCAAATACTCTCACAACGTAGTGTGCGTCGCGACCGTACGTGCACCTTCACTAGACGTTCGTTACTTTCACAGCCGTTTCCAGCAGCTGTATTCTCGAGATATGGAATTTCCATATATTACCTTTAACAAGACGTGTGTATTAGTTAGAAGTGTTAGTGCTATTTTCACTGGAACTGGAGGTCAACGTATATTGATTTGTTCTCTTTAATGTACCCTCGCTTTCTCATCAATTTAGTGGTGTTGTACGTTTCATTTGCACGTATTGTTGTTAAGTCGGTGTCTCGAACTGCCCAAAAGCAATAAACCTACTATATGTCCTAGCTCGACTTGACTTAACAGCATAATTCAAAGCAATTGCGGTAACTCCAATAAGCCTAATCAGTCGACTAAGCCGTGCTGTTTTCAAGCGATGATCCAACATTCATTAGGACATCAGTAAACAGAGGCAAGTTCCGCGTTTTCGCCGAAATGCTTGTTATTTGAAAATGTTCAAAAGTTGAAAAGAAAATTCAAGAAACGAAATGAAAGAAAATTTAGAGCCAATTCGATATTAGTCTACCTCACCCTGTTCTTAGAATTTATGATCTCCGTTTCTGTAACATGTGGCAAGCATCGTGAGCCGTCTTCTGTTTCCTTCCCACAGAAAAGTACTAATTTGTCAAGCTCAGATAAAGGAAAAGCCACTTACTAGACTAGGACTCGAACCCGGCACCTTACGGTTCTAGGGGGGGTGACGCTCTGCCGACTGAACAACCCCGTCTTTCGAAATTTCAAAGAATGCTGAAGCTTATAGCCTCACAGGCTCTGGGCATACATATTCAAATCCAGACCGCAAAACGTGAAGGCTTCAGCTACCTCTTCTTCAGCGTTTTCTGCATTTTCGGGAAAAAAAACTTTCCTCTGTATCGCCTCCGGACGAACATGTCAAAGGCGGTTTAACGGATCGGAAAAAATGCGGATCCAGTGAATTCAAAAAGAAAACAGCCATTCTTCGTTGCCAAACAGAATATTTGAAACTTATCCGGATCGGAAATCGACTCCGATCACCTGACAACTGTTGCAATATCTGAACTCGTTTTCTAGTGGTGATACCAAGCAATTTTTCAGAGAACTTGAGAATTGTCCCCATGACATGAGAGACCCAAGAGACCGGGCTCAATCACAGTCATTTGGCACCGTATAGGGTTGAAGTCCAGCATTCAGAACGTTCCGAGCTGATGAAAGACAAAAGAAAAACCATACACAGCTGCTGTCCATGTCATGCTGGATTATACAGACGGACTCGATATGAACTCGGTAGCTACAACAGTGATTTCGTTTAGAACGATCGATTGATTTTGACACTGAGTGTGATAAGTAACAAGTGAATTAGCGCATAGCCGTAGCTCTTAAGAAGACTTACGTCATGGCTTGGCTTACGTTTGTCAAAGACCAAAAAATTCCTACGTGCAAACCGTTTCACTGTCTGCCTTCTGGTTTAAATACCTTACCGAGCTGAGGCACTTCGGCATAACCAGGTCATGCAGAATCCATTTCACCTCAAACTCGCTGTTAGATAGAGCAGGGGTCATTTGACCGTTTTCACTAGTCTAGAATGATGGGGCTGGGGTTCAAACTGTACCTCAGAGATTCTGTATGGCGGTGAGTTCGTTCAAAGTGCCAAACCTCTCGAACATCCGTTCTGAAAAGACCTTGATGTGCATCAATCTGTTAATGGTCGAACCACAGCAGATCAATCGCGCACTGCCGCTGAATCAGCGACCGTTGACGAAGATTGTCAACAACCTCAGCGGTGTTTCTTGCCCGACAATAAATACTGGCGTAAACGACCAACGGTCTTCCGAAATTATTATGTTACTGTGCTATCTCACATGAGCGAGAAGTCTCCATTCGGTACTCGCACTCGTTGTCACAGACGTCAGGTAAAATCGGATGTTCAGGCTTAAGTTTTAAATTTACTTCATCATACGAACTTTAAACTTTCTCGCGATTTTACGACAAAACGGAACAATAGAAAAATTAGTTACGCTCATACCGTGTGCATTATATTTGTGAATGTAACGTGATCCGTTGTTTACGATTATAACTGAGACAAAGCTAAAGAAATACGGTGGAATCGGTGAAAAAAATTTTTCTGCAGGCTTAAAGTTGCAACCTCAGCAAATTACGTCCAGTTTACAGTTCTACACCAGTATGCCCAAAAAATGAGACAACATTTTTCATGTTTATGCTTATAGATGACATAGATGATCGAATAATGCAAACAACGGCAATACCGTGGCATCGTTCAAATGACAGTCCCGACGATCTGGAAGCGTCTCCTTTGATTGAACTAGTGATTTTATCTATCGGCCATTTGAAATCGATATCCACTACGAGGTAGTGATGGAGAACTGCAGAACTGGATTTTCGAAGAGGGATTCACAAGGCGACCATTTTTCCTTAAATTTGCATGTGAGGTGGACCAAGGGAAGACCTCCGGTACGATTGCTTGGGAAAACTGAACAGGCGTCATTGTCGCGCTTGGAATCCACCAATAGGGCTAGTTCGATTGGCAGAGTATCCGCATCATCGGAAGAACGAAAAGAAGCTTCTACATTGGTTGCTGAAACAGGTAAAGGGACTCTAAGAAAATGGACGCATCCATGACGGATCGATACCAGGGGAGAGTTGCTGAGTTGTGCCACTGAACAAACAAAATTATGAGGTCACAACCTCATTGAGGAAACGGAAGAAACAACACATTCATTCGCACATGTTTCCTTTGCCAATTAATCGACTTAAACTACTACGTCCTTTGTGTATAAAAAATGTTTCATCATCTCTGCGTATACGTAATGGAAGCCACAAATCAATAGGTGAACTCGTAAATATTGACTGTCAATCATCTCGAAGTCTTGCATGTGAGTTGGAGCTGTGGAGGCATACGCCACGTTATTTAAACTTGAGCTTCCATTAATCTCCCTCGAGCTCGAGATCTGTTTGTGACATGTCTTACTCATATGCGTAGTACTGTAGACGAAACTTAATAACTTCACTTTCTGAACCCGGAATCAGTCAAGTAGAAGATTAATCAATGCTGCATGAATAAGCAATGATGGCCATTGCATGCCCCGCTGAAAATGACAGAAATTTCCGCCGAAGCAATTAAATTAAAAACTAGATACTTTTGCGGTAGAGCGAACTTGCACATAAACCATCACACGTCTGGCTGAGCTGACGTCACACCTACTCTGACTCATTGACCTGAACAACGAAGAGTTTGCCAATGAAGCGATAAGCCAGAAATATCCACTGTTCTGTGTCACCTCGTTGCTACTGATGCGTTGTTGAACCTACTGAGGTGAAAATAGCAAAAAACTTAAAAACGGGAAAATCTGTCCATACACTAATGATTTTTAAGCGTAACGTACAGAAGTCAGAAAGAAGCTTTTATCAGACGCCATCTCCATCTGGTCAATGGCATGGAGTTTTTTAGTGTTCCTGAAGAAGATACTTTCGCATCTTCTTGTAATGTCTTCCTGAAAATGTCAGTTAATCGGTGTAGTTCGCTTTCGCTGTCTTATGCGTTGTCAAAGTACGAACAGTGTCCAACTTGACGACGGTGTTTCATCGGTTTTGTCCGGCGTCAAGTTAGATGTAACACATCAAAAACAGCACACAGCTCTGAAGTATCTTCGGTATGGTCGTCTTCCCCGAAGGGCATGACATGACTGGTTGCTTTATGACTATGATTTTGGCATCAGCAAATTTTCTTCTCGTCTTTAACATGTCTGTAATTCAGCGTAGGCTTGGACGTTTGCTTCAGCATTCAGACAAATATAAAGATGTGAAGAATTTTCGTCTCCAGAGCTCGGTTGCTTATGGAACTCTTCACTCAAAAGCAACCTTGTAATGTGGCTCGATGTATTGCCAGTTTTTTGACCTGCCGTAAAACGCTTCCACCGAACCGCTCGTAGGCTTCATTCGATCATGAATCAGACTTACATCATGAAATCTTCTAACAAGGTGGCCAAACAACCGTTGCCGTTTAAACAGGAGTAATACCTATTCAATTCAAGCACATCTTAAGATTAATTTTGTTGCTGCTTGGTTTCTGAGGAAGATTCCTGAACAGTGATCAGAACCTACCTCAAGAAACATAAACAAGGGGTACGACTCGCTACCCAATCGATCTAGCAACGTCTACCTATTTTTCATACGTCATTTTAAGGAAGTGATATATACCTGAAAGCTATACGTAACACACCTCTACTTAAGTTATGTACGAGCGACATAACCAAACCAGCGAGTCTCAGCTTTATGGCGATCGTAGCGGAGAATAAAATTCTCACTCTTGGTCCCGCTATATGATGACCTAAAGTTAGCTCAGGACTGTGGTTCTACATTATGTTCTTGTGGTTAATGGACAGAAACGTTGAGTTCGTTGCTAGTGATCGTGCGTACCAGTCAGCTTCAATGACACAAAGCTGACTCGCTGTTCATTGCCATAACGCTGATTACGATGACTATCGTACAGTCTGCCTCCTTCTTATGGTAGCTATTCCCGTTCTTATCATTTGATTCGTTACCTACAGTTATACTGTGTACTCTGTGTATAATTATGCTCACTGAATGACTGAAAGTAAACGTGAAAATTGCTCAGGTCGTGAGGTCATACTCATGTTTAACAATACTTGATCCGGGTAGCTTTTGAAGTCAACGGACGTAGGTTTGAACAAGCGCAACACTACGTCTATCTGCGTCCAACTCCGCAAAGGAGAACGGACTACAGAAGAATAAAAATAGCCCTGAGCACTTTTGGAAAACCGAATATGTTCCTACCCGAGAAACTCTGCCTGTGATTGATAAGTGCGTGCTCCCAACGCTAAACCAGTGTTTGGTGCGAAACGTGGATCGAAGGATTTAAAGCTATTCACATAAACGGCGACAGGCGACACAACGCAGCATGGAAAAATACATGCTGAGAATAGTTAAATAATAAAATAAAAAGATAGGATGACGAATGAATTGTGACAGCACAAACAGGAGTGATTCTGGGCGAATGATCAAGCTGAAGCATCAATTGGTAGAACTCATTGCAAGAACGACCTGCCGCAACTGGACTAGAGATATGTTAGATTGGATTTCAGCACAGTCTACGGCCCGCAACAAGACCTCCAGAACGACGGCAGAATTGGCTGAAAAAATTAAGTGTATCAACATGAACGAAAATTGCGGATAACAGACGAAATTTACAGCAGTGGGTTGAGGAAGCCTTCACCCAGTGGATGGACAAAAACCGATAATAATTATGTGACTCTCGATGGCACACAAAAACTTATTTTCGAATCGAAAATTTACCGACACAAAAATCACAGCTTGTCGACGGCGCGATGAACTGGAACACAGAATCCTGTGACGAAATCATTTCAGAGGCGTATATTCTGCAATGAACCAAAAAAAGACTTAAAATAAAAGTTTCTCATGAGGTTTCCTTGATTGTTCCAAGGTTCAATCAAGAGCAAATAATCCAATCAAGAAAACATCGTGCTCCTGTTCTACGTTACTAGAGTTTGTGATTATCGTACTAATAAGGATTCTGTATTAAAACATACACATGCGACTATAGTTTATTAAAAACAATTGACCGTCGACGGTATTTAACAATTTACTCTCCGGTTTTTAAAATCAAGAACAACAGAAACAACTAAATGGGGCTTCATCAGATCTAGGCGTCAGTGTAACAAGCTTTAGATACAAGTTTCGAGCAGTGTAACGCCTTGTTGCTGCCCTAACTTACGAATATTTGTCTTCAACTCTGATGATGGCCTGTGTGTGAAGTTTCGCATATGTATACTGTCATAAAAAATGACTGCCGTCAAAATACTTTATGAAGTCTAATCGAGAAAATAAAAAATAAAAAATTGCACGACGTAGCAGACCTACGTCAGACCGCGGTCATTTTACCAATCTAACCTTGTGTTGTTACCTTAAGGTTCGAAAATGTAAAATGAACCGTGTTGGCGATGGTGATGCATAAGTCGATGGTTGGCAAACCCGCAAATGTTCTCCTCTCCTCCGCGACTGTAAGGTGATCGCGGAACGATTGTTTTACCTCGCTCGAAACGAGTCTAGTTTCGCAATCGGTCTTAGGAGAAGGGGATACATCGACTCTGATAACGTCGCAGCTCTCTGGGTGTCTCACCTTATGAGGTCAATCAATGCACTGTTGTGCTGCCCCATCGATCAGCGTGGGTGTGTGTGTGGGAGGGGGGTCATTGTCGAAACCACTTGCCTGATGACCATCTTGGATATTCCAATGACACGATACGTTAGTGATTTCCGTTGAAAGTGACTCAGCCGGGTCAATACGTACAAATCACACGAGCAAAAAATCTTAAACCGTATTGGATCAGTCTTTAATGTTGTTGACCGGACGTTCAATCAATGACCGCTTCGTCTGCATTTCTGTCACACTTAATTGAACTTTCGGTTGGCCTCAAACAGCCGAGATCTAATCAGACAAAAAACAACGATGGATGAAACTACCATTTTAAGCCGAGGGCCGCGTTAATGACAAACTAACTGTATCTACTTGTTAAGTGAGACGTAAAACGTAAACGAGTTAAAATGAGTACGACGCCGGAATCCTAGGTTTAGATGAAAAACCCTCTGGTTTCTTGGACGACGTCGAGCAGCTATCAAAAGCAGGATTAGGAAGGTACAAGTGAAACATGCGCGCAACGATGCTAATGCAATAAACCAGTTGTGAAAACTGTTCCACTGTGCCACATGTCAAATGACAGTCGATCTACCAGGGCACAGCTCTGACGGCTACTTCGCGCTACTTTGCTCCAAGTTCTTAACTGGCGTTGACGTAAAGCGTCTGCACG